AAAAAAAAAGAGATCAAATGAAAGGACGTAATCAAGAGTCCTATTGTGATCACACTTACAGTTCCTCTAGTGCTACATTTCATTAATATGGGTTGAGAGCACGACATGAACGATATTTGGGGATGGAGATGGATGTTGCAATATATCCATGAAACTCAACGCGCACGTCAAAATATTCGTAAGAGAAAAGTGTTAAGCTTTCCTACCAAATTGAGATGTATAATAGAGAGACCAGAAAGAGAATGAGAAGTTTGGAATTAGGAAAAACAACTTGCGCTATTCGAGCCCCACTTTTTTTTTTAGAATAAATTTTGCAAGAAGTAATTTTTTTTTGGAGAATGTTCGTTTTAAAAGTTGGAAAAATTTTGAATTTATGTGCAAAGTTATTTTATTGAGAAAACGTGTACTTCAAATTAATTTGAGGAAAAATGAGTTTTAAAGAGTGAAGCTCAAACATGGGCATATTATTTTTACCAAAAATCAAGGATGGATGTGAATAACAAATAATTATTTTAATCATTTTTTTATCAGATATATTTTTTATTTGCATAATTCATATGATACATAACTGTTACTCACCTAATGTTTACAAATAATTTAGCCTCCTTTTAAATTTTGATTTGTAAATAATAATTATTGAATCCCACAAAATCTGTGAACAATAAAGAAAATAAAGAACAGTAATTATGAATGTCAAGTTGAAATTAATGTTTGATTTTTTAACAAAAATTATGGATTAATTTATAAACTGTAACTAATTAGAGTGTAAATGGATAGAAATGAATAGTGGATATATGGTGATTTTCTCGCGTTTCTGGAGAGCTGCCAAAGTCTAGTATATATAAAGTAGGACTTTGTTAGGGATACATAAATTTTCACATAATGATTCACATAATTACATGTGGCACATATCCAATCTTTAATTCAAATCTCACACTTTCACATCAACTATCGGATGAATGCCACATCACATTATGTACCCCTATATGTACATAAATTATGTACAACAAGCATTATCCTATAAAGTATGTTATTTCTTTTGTGTGTGTCTCGGTTCCTCTTCTTGGCTCCTCGCCTCCCTTTATCCTTTCTTTCTTTTCTCTTATAATTCTCTTTGAAATAGCACTTTTGTAATCACTCCGTTTGATTGTTAGACATTCATCATCACTTTGGCTGAACAAATCAAGAGTTTGTTTGAGATCATTTTTCGGAAGAATAGATTTTATAATAATAATTTTATTGAGAATGTGATTAAAAAGTATGAAAAATTTTGGACTTATTATAAAATTACTTTATTGGAAGAATGTATGTTGAAAATGAGTTCAAACAAAAAGAATTGAATTTTTAAAGAACGAGGATCTAATAGGGGCTAATATTGGAAAATAAATCTAATTACATTATTTTTCATTTTATTACTTGAATTTGGTATTTTCACGACATCCTTAATTATTGAAGTTTATGTTTGAATGGCTCGTGCGAGTTTCTAGTTATTTAACATCTATCCATGTCTTCAAGTTTTTCTATGATTGATATCAGTTTTTCTTAATGTTTTGAAAATCAATCCAATCATATATCCAAAAAAGTTAAAGGTTCAAGGGTCGAAAAGTATGTTATTTTTTTCAATTAAATATTTTTATGGCATTTTAATTTGTTATTATACTAAATAAATGTGGAAAATTTGAAAGAAAAAAAGTGATAATTTTTTTCTGTTTAAAAATGAAAAAAAAAAGTCACTTTGTTACACCAATATTCTTTCAATCCCACATTGGCTTCTTCGAAGTAAAATATTAAAAATATATATTATAAAAAGGGCTTGTCACTAATAAAATAGGCACAGCATTCGGGCTAGTTGGTCAATTTTTATCCGATTTTTAAATATTTGATTGTTACATATCTATCGAAACAAATTTTTTGTACCGGTTCACGGTTTCCAATTTTGAAAACATCGTTTTTTCGTTCCTCCCTATGACAANTTACACCAATATTCTTTCAATCCCACATCCGCTTCTTCGAAGTAAAATATTATAAAAAGGGCTCGTCACTAATAAAATAGGCACAGCATTCGGGCTAGTTGGTCAATTTTTATCCGATTTTGAAATATTTGATTGTTACATATCTATCGAAACATATTTTTTGTACCGGATCACGGTTTCCAATTTTGAAAACATTGGTTTTTCTTTCCTCCCTATGACTAAATATAGTTCTCGTTGATTTTTTTGCTCCAACTGTTGGTGTTATTCATCAACTTTGAATTCGTTTGAATGGTTCTAAATGTTTATTTTGGCTTGTATGTGTTGTTAATATCGAACTATACACAAACTGTACCACAAACTTTGCACGAACTGTGCACGAATCAAATAGAAATTTATCATCAAGGCACACAAATTGATAATGTTGTCTTTAAGACAACATAAACCTGCATATTGTTTTGAAGCAACCTCCAAAATTAAAATATATTGGATTCTTTGATTACATGGGCTCCTTATAAGTCAATTTTAGTTTTTTTAAAAAAAAAAAATTGGAGATCAATTGAAAGGATGTCATCAAGAGTTTTATGGTGATCACACTTACATTTCCTCCAGTGCTACATTTCATAAGATGGAGATGTATGTTGCAAACTACCTATCCATGAACCTTAACAAATTCGTCATGTAATTCGTAAGAGAAAAGTTAAGCTCTCCTACCAAATTGAGCTATATAGTAGAGCGAAGAGGGAGAAAGAGAAATTCGGAATTACAAAAAACAAGTTAGCACAATTTGAGCCTCATTATTTGTGAATAAAGTCGTAAAAAAGTGATTTTTAGGATAATGTTTGTCTAAAAGTGAAAAAAAGTTCGGATTTACATTAAAAAAATAGTTTATTGAAAAAATATGTACTTAAAAATGAATTTTGAAAAAATTGAATTTTAAATAGTAGGGCTCAAACATGTGCTTATTATTTTTCAACCATCTACATGAAGTTTTACATTGTTTCACGTGTCGCGGCATGATTGGCCAGTTTGAAAATAAAAAACATTTTCCCACCCATTCACTTTTAAATTTGCAAAGGCATGTCAACCATGATGTACAAAATCAATGTACAAATGGTTTAATCCATTATTTTTAACAAAGACATTTTAATGATTTTTTGTCAAATATGTTTCTTTAATCTAAACAATTCGTATGATTCGTAACTATTACTCACTATTCCACATCGTTCGGGAAGCTTTTACAATCGGTTTAGCAAGTATTGTTAAAATTAATGTTTAATTTTTTTTTTGAATAAATTTATGAACTAATTTATAAATTATATCCAAATAGAGTATAAATTGATATAAATGAATAGTAGATAAATATGCGATACTTATGAATCATTCGAAACGTGTGATGAAAATTAGTTTAAGTGTTATAAACATGACCCAACACATAGGTAACTGACATAAATTCTCTGGATATGTTCACAAGGCTCCCTCCCTATTCATTTCTGGAAGTCATAATTTTNNATTCATTTCTGGAAGTCATAATTTTATATCTTCATTTTTGGATCGGTTTAGTTCGATTTGAAAAAGAACCGAATTAAAATCGAACTATATTTACATATAAATAAAACCTGTTATTTACTGTTTTCATACTTATTGTCTTTCTGACTCTAACTAATTGAAAAGAATAATTAAATTATAAACATGGATCATTTGTTTTGATGTATACATCTTTTTCCATTCCAAGCTTACAATTTATTAGTTGACATAATGAAAGCGTCTTCCTCTTTTTTCTTCTGTTTTTTTTTTTTAAGAATTCTTGAATTTCTTGAGTTATGTGAACTTCCAACTATGTTGGGAAAGTGATCCAAGACAATGGTGCCAACTATAAAGACAAAGTTAGAGACATGCTTTAAAATGATTTGGACAGTACAGGCTTTGGTGTTTGCACAAATAGTTTAGATTCATCTTTGAGACGTTTGAGTACTGAAGTAGAGGAGTACGTACATAGCAACTTATAAACTTAACATTAATGTACGATTGCAGTAAGTCGTAATTTAACTGAAGCAACTCGGCATATGGTTTGAGTAGAAATGTTAGAGATTATGCAGATGAGACTTTTGGACTACATGGAGATGAGATAGACATGATCATTTTCTTGTAAAGCATGGGATAATCAACTAAGACAACTTACTTCAAGAAGTGATTTCAAGTCGAGAAATTAGGAAACATCTTACAAGACACATGACAACTAGTGGTGACAATTGAGCCGAGCCGGCTTGTGGGCTCGGCTCGTTGCCACCGAGCCACGCGCCGCTCGGGCTCGTCAAAAGA